GGCTACCAGATCTTTATAATGTAACATTCTGTGGAAACTATTGCCAGTGATGATTGTTGCTAACAATTGCTATGAAATATTCCCAGTCGATCACAGACTTAAGTGCATGTATGGGGTGTGTGAGGATATTTGAGGATGTAACATGTATTTTGATTATGTGGGGGTTGGCATAATTAAGGGTTAGGGCTACACGTACAATGTGATAAAAGTATTGATGGATAAGGTGTTATGTTATCAGGATTATTTTATATATTCAATCTTGATTTGAAATTTTCTTGACTGTGTATATTCATGCGAGTGTTAAAAGCGAGTTTGAATGAGTGAACGTGGATGTCTGCATCTGTACAAAGATGTGTGAGTATGCATTTGTGTTGGGTTTATGTGTACGTTTATGTTTGCGTGCATGTGGGCATTAATTTTTGTTTGCATGTGCATGTCTGAATATTAATGTGGTGATCTTTGCTTGAACAGAGGATAATTGGGGAGTTGAAAGACTTCAGCGGGGTGAAGCGTCTCCAGGAGGACCTTCGGATGGTGAAACGCCTCATGGTAGAGGAGCGCCTCTTTGAGGTGCAGCGCCTGGCAAGGGTGAAGTGCCGCACAGAGGAGACGTGCTTCAGAGACGATCTACTCAAGAAGGGACTCGTTAAAGTGAAGTGTTTCACGGAGGAGAAACGACTTCGTGAAATGAAGCTTTTTGATGAGAACTGTCTGGAGGAGGATGAGGAGAAGCACCTCATGGAGGAGAAGTACCTTGAGGAGGAGCAGTACTCCGTCAGGAGTGCTACCATCACCACCACTGCCAGCAACGCTGCCACCACCACCGCCACCGCCACCACCGCCACTGCCACCCCCGCCAGTGACACCAACGCCACTGCCACCGCCACCACCGCGGCAACCACCACCACAACTTACTCCACCGACAACGCCACCACCACCGCTGTCACCTCAGCCACCGCCAGCACCACCACCACTGCTGCCACCGACACCACCGACACCCTTGACGCTACCTCCACCACCTCCACCACCGCCATGGCAACCACCACCAACGCAACTAACACCACCACTACCGCCACCACCGACACCACCGCCACCACCTCTGCCACCTCCGAGGACGAGGAGGTTGCGGAGGATGAGGAGGAGAGAACGGAGAAAACAGAGAAGGGGGAGAAGATGGTGGTGGAGGATGAAGATGAAATGGAGGAGGACGAGACAAAGGAGCAGGAGATGGAGGAGGTGCAGGTGGTGGAGGAGGTGATGCAGGGAAAGAAGAGGAAGCGAGGGGGCCTCGCTCACGTGGCAAGAGCGATCACCTCACTCCTCCGCCGCGTGCTGCTTTGTGGTGGCATGTCCACCACTCAGTAGGGGTGATGGTGGTGGTCGTGGATTGGTGCCAACCATGACCACTATCACCATACTACCCACCCACCCCGTGATACATGCCACACACTTACCACACGGTTCCCCAAAGAGACGTTGCCACTTGGACCACAGCTGTTGAAGTGGAGAACGATTGCTACCAAGACACCACACACACCACACACGGGACTAGCCCAAAAGCATAGCTGGCCCCACCCTGGGCCCCTTCCATGCTGGTTTTTATCCAGGCAGTCCTCATGGGATGACCTTGCCATGGTTTCCAGGACATGGAAGGGGCAGCTGACCCAGGGTGAGAGAGCTGGAGGGGTCTGGATCGGACATTGGACGACACCTGCCACATGGCAAGCCCCAGGGCCACCCTGCAAATAATACGGTTAAATACCATTGTTCTTATTGGTACTATAAACTCTTTGAAATAAACCCATGATGACACAAAATATATTTGAATTGCTTGCAAGTGCTGCCTGAGTTGGTTAAATGTGCCTTGGCTCGGGTGTGCGGTTTTCCAGCTGTGTGTGGAGGTACAAGGACAAATATAGAATGATCGCCGTTTTGAGAGATGGTCCTTCTTTAGAGCACATACAAATGTCGGTGGGAAAAGATATTCAGGTGATTCGCCTCCTTCACAACACTGCCACTCTACTCCACTGCCCCACTGATCCACTGCTCCACTGCCCCACTGTCCCACTGCTCAAATGATCCATTGCCCCTCTGCCCAACTGTCCCTTTGCTCCACTACTCCACTGCCCTACTACCCATTTGGCCCACTGCTCTTCTGCTCCGCTGTCCCACTGCCCATCTGCTCAATTGCCCTACTGCTCCACTACTCCAATGCTCCACTGCCCTTCTACTCCACTGCCCCTCTACCTCCCTGCTCCACTGCCCATCTGTTCCCCTTCTGTAACAGCAGTTGAAACAAACGTTTGAGTTTCTTAACCACCCCTGCCTCTGTCCACCAATCAGTAGAAATGGGTACGCCACAATCGAGCAGCAAGGTGCATGTGGTGTGTTAAAGTGTGGGTACTCCTTCATCTTCTAAAATATCTGCTCAGTGTAGAAGAGTAGAACAAAACATCGTGTAAAGGGGCTCTCTAGAACTCGGTCTTGTAGAAATTATTCCTGCAACCAGAGGTATGATAAAGCAATTGCGAAATTGTGTCAACACTCCACAATTCAAATTGTTTTGGCAGAGTATTCAAAGAATGCTGCTGCTCACGATACAGGTTGCAACTTATGTATTTAACATGGGGGGTGTTTAGAGGCGGCCCAGTGACCGAGAGGTCAGAGCACTGAAGTGGGACCACGGAGTAACTGGGTTTGAATCCAGGCACCCGCCTGTGATCAAAGTGGGTTGTCAAGTCTAGCGAGTTCATGATCTCAGCCTGGTCGTCAATGACTGCGAAACATAAACCATCACATGGCAGTAATGTGGTTCACTACTTAAATTGCGTGAGGAGGCCCTCGTAAAACCATGTTTTTAGAAGGAGGTCTGCATTGTGCACACAGAATCGCCCCTTGGATATGGAGAATCGGAGCGACCGCCCAGGTCCGCGGGCATTGGGGGGGCCCTGCGCTTCAATGTCACGGGGGTGTCAGATGTAATACTTGCGGTGGAATTTGAAGGCGTCGGAGGCCCACATGCTGGGATTTTCCTCTGGCCTAGCACCCCTATGGACGGTCCTGTGTGTACATTGTTCAAAGTCTCGCACAGGCTTTTGCCAAACTCAATTAGGGCAATAATAATAAAACGCATTACAGGACTGTGAAGGACATGGCATGTGAGCCCTGTAGCTCTCCCAAGTGCTTGTGGGTTGAACCGCGTGTTGTTCAGCAGGAATTCAGTGTTCTTGAAGGGAGGTGAGACAGTGAGACCCAGGTTAGTGTGGGTAGAGCGGTGAGTGTGACAGTAAGACAGACCCAAGTGAGTGAGTGTAGGAAGACAAATGAGTGAGACAGTGAAACAGACTCAGGTGAGTGTGTGTGGGTAGAGGTGAGTGTGACATTGAGACAGACCAATGTAAGTGTCTGTGGAATGTGGTGTTAAAGTAAGACAGACCCAGGTGAGTGTGGTAGAGAGGTGAGTGTGACAGTGAGACAGACCCAGATGAGTGAGTGTACGAATAGAGGTGAGTGTGACAGTGAGACAGACCAAGGTGAGCCCGGTTGTCCTTGACAGCACAAAAAAGTAAGAACATTGTTACGACCAACGTTACAGGAGGGAGGATCCTGCTCTTTATTACGTGGATGAGAGGGCACTTGAATGGTACTCAGAAGTAGCTCCGTGATTACAGCTTCAGTGGGCCATTCTCTAACACAAGGCTTGCAATCTTCTGCTCGAGACACGAATGATTCGTTGTTTCCACGGCAGGATGGCAACATCCAACCCAGGTTAAAATTTGGGTAAAATTAGAAAATGCAGGTTTACTAATAAAAGACGTTGCAGTTTGGTTACCAAAGCAGTGGCTTGTCGGCATGTAGCATGGAGGTAGGGTAGATGTGAAGTTTAACGTCATTGAGTAAAAACTCAGAGTGAGCGTACATCCATTGTCGTTATGATCCACGTCTAGCGATACACGCAGAGACACGAGGAGCAGGAGGTACTCTATTTATTATAGCCTTCACAGGGTACAAGGGGTCACTACACTTTCAGTCAAGAGAGCTAACAGACTGCCTGTCTGACACCGCCGAGAAGATGCAGATGGTGACGATGACTCCAGCAGCCCGACGGGATTCCACTCCAAGCAACAGCCCCAAACCTTTGGCCGGGGTCCCCTTTTATCCTCCTAGCGAGGCCTCGCTAGGAGGATAATGCAAATCAAATTATAACATTTTTGACATGTTTTTCTGGATGTTTTTGTTGTTATTCTGCCTCTCACTGTTCAAATAAACCTACCATTAAAATTATAGACTGATCATTTCTTTGTCAGTGGGCAAATGTACAAAATCAGCAGGGGATCAAACGATTTTTTCCCTCACTGTACTTGATATGTACAGGACCGGACAACATCACCTTAACAAATTCATATGCCACAGATTGCACATTAGATCAGAGCACAATTATTTGTGTTGTCATAGTTCTGAATGTCTCAACTGGGACCAAAAAAGTTAAACAAAGTTAATGTAATAAACAGTGCTTGTTAATATTTGTCTGTTGTTTAAAAGAAATAAGTTTCTGTTCCCAAAACTTATTTTCAATAAATTGTACCATAGATGTACACTTGAATAGTGTGCTGATCTTTAAAGGTGTATTGAATATTTTTTTACATACTGCGACTCATAATCCTGCTGTTATGGAGTGACTCATACAGCCAGCTATGGCTGCAAAGTTTGGTCGTGCATGTTATGTATATATCGTTAATTGTTAAATTTGAATCACAGTTCCTATGATCACTGTTACATTGTTTTTATAGCTTTATTTTGGTGATTTTGAAAACGTTTTGGTTTAGCCATGTTTGTTTTTTGTAGTACAGAGTTAGCCTGATAACTTTAATCTAAATTGTCTTATGATTGTTATTATTCGACTTGCATCCCACCGGGATTTTTGCACACAGTGTTGATATACGGTGCTTTTCTGGAAGACTTTGCTGTCTTTTCCTGGATTTTTCTGTTGCGTGTAGTCGCTTTAAGATATTCCTTGATCATGTTTTTGTTTGTTGCGGTTGCACCCGAGTCAAGAGCAACATAGCTCACAGGGTTATACCAAATAAATGAATCTGAAAAACTTAAATGAATTTCTGCTTGCATGTCTGTATATTCATGTGATTATCTTTGCTTGAACAGAGGATAATTGGGGAGTTGAAGGATCTCAGCGGGGTGAAGCATCTCCAGGAGGAGAAGGACCATGCGACAGAGAAACGCCACATGGTAGAGGAGCACCTCTTTGAGGTGCAGCGCCTTGCCAGGGTGAAGCGCCGCACAGAGGAGAACTGCTTCAGAGACTATTTCCTCAAGAAGCGCCTCGTTAAAGTGAAGTGCTTCACGGAAGAGAAGCGTCTGGTGGAGGAGAAGTGTCTCGCCAACGTGAAGAGCGTCGAGGAGGAGAAGCGCCTCATGGAGGAAGAGCGGTGCCTCGCCAGGACTACTACCATCACCACCACCAACGCTGCCACCTCCGCCCCACCACCGCTGGCGCCACCGCCATTACCGCTGCCGCCACCGCCACCTCCGCTGCCACCATCACCACCATTGCCACCGCCACCACGGCCATCACCTCCAGCACCTCCGCTGCCACCACCGATGCCACCGACGCCACCTCGGAGGTTGAGGAGCATGAAGAGAGAATGGAGAAAACAGAAGAGGGGGAGAAGATGGTGGTGGAGGATTAAGAGGAGGTGGAGGAGGATGAGACAAAGGAGGAGATGGAGGTGGTGATGCAGGGAATGAAGAGGAAGCGAGAGGGCCTCGCTCGTGAGGCGAGAGCGGTCACCTCACTCCTCCGCCGCATGCTGCTTTGTGGTGGCATGTCCACCACTCAGTAGGGGTGATGGAGGTCGTGGATCGGTGCCTACCATGACCACTATCACGATACTATCCACCCACCCCGTGATACATGTCACACCCACACACACACCACATGGGTCCCCGGAGAGACCGCGCCACTGGAACCACAGCTGTGGAATGAAGCTGAGCAGCAGATGCCAGGACTACAGTGGAGAACGATTGCTACGAAGACACCGCACACCACACACAAACGGGACTAGCCCAAAAGCATAGCCGGTCCCACCCTGGGCCCCTTCCATGCTGGTTTTCATCCAGGCAGTCCTCATAGGATGACCTTGCCATGGTTTCCAGGACATGGAAGGGGCAGCTGACCCAGGGTGAGAGAGCTGGAGGGGTCTGGTATGGACAATGGACGACACCTGCCACGTGGCAAGCCCCAGGGCCACCCTGTAAAGAAAAAGGTTCAATACCATTCTGTTAAATTTCGATTTAAAGCTATCTTGGCTGCAAGGATTAATCTTCTTTGGTTCTTTCGGTAAAGTAGCGTAGAATGAGAATAAAATAATACATTGATCAAATAAAATAACACAATAAAATTCTCACGACGTTTCGGTCACAACACAAGCGGCCTTCATCAGGTGAAGGGACGAGACTGTCTGGAGGAAAGCGCTGGAGTGAACACAGCCAAGCTCAGACCGCGACCTTTAAGCTGTGTGAGAAGAAACAGAGCGCCTTGACAAACGAATTAGCATAAAATTTAGCATTGAAAGAGCTGAGTGATTAGCTTGTGACTGGTCACAGAAATGGCTATGTTAAAGTCAAAGCCTACACATCCACAGAGGCACCTAGTACAAATCAAACAGGATAATTTAGCATTGAAATTGCTGAGTGATTAGCTTGTGTCTGGTCACAGAAATGGCTATGTTAAAGTCAAAGCTTGCAAGCAGAAATATCCCTGTGAAACTCGCACAGACAGACACACACACACGCAGATGCGCACACAAACAGGCACACAGGCGCACACAGACACTACTGCTACTAACTACTACTCAGTACTACCACTGCTGCTACCACTAAGCGTAAAACATTCCCATCGTGATTGTGACTCTGACTGGCCGTTGCGGCGCTGCTGCTGCTGCTTCTTAGATACCCCAGGAGCAGCTCCAATGCCGCTTCGAGGTGCGAGAGAAGATTGGCGAGGGAGGGCAGGGAGTGGTGCTGCGGTGCGTGGACCACAATATGGGATTCCTGGTGGCTGTCAAGATGCTGGCACTGCCCATCCAGTAGGTTGGGGCAGGGGTGATGGGGTTGGTGGTGGTGGTGGTGTGGGTGGGTGCTGGTGGTCTTAACACAGCGGCCACAGTCATAATTATACATGAATAAAATAATAGATAATACATGGAAGTAAATACAACATGGTTACAAAATAATGAGTATAATAGTAAACAATAATGATAATAACCTCCGTAAAACTCTAACTATAAACTGAAACTATCTCACTAAGATAATTACCGCTGTAAAACTACTATGACCCACAGACACACAGATTCATAGACACCCATAGACACCCATAGATACCCACAGAGACCCACAGACTTGCTGTGTGCACGCAGCCCTACCAAGATGGAGATGCAGAGGATGGAGCTGAAGGTGATCACAGAGCTGCAGGGGGAGGGCAGTGCTGGGCTGCACGGCGTCATCTGCGTCCTGCTCTCGTTCCACTTCCGCGGACACAACTGTATCGTGCTGGAGCTGTTGAAGAATGCATCATCACCATTGTTATTATCGTCATCATTATCGTCATTATCACTATCGTCATCATCATCTTCATTACCGTCATCATCGCTATCGTCGTCGTTGCTGCTGCTGCCGCCGCCGGGATTGCCTCTACGACTTGAGCAAGCGAGCGGTGATCTGGCGCATCAACGACGCCGCGTTGAGGTCATACACCAGTGGAATCGTCCGCTTCCTGGCCCAGACCAAGTCCCGCGGCATCGTCCACGCGGTCATCAAAGCCGGTGATAGCGGAGGGCACTCTGGGGGCGCGCACGCTCCCCACGACGCACTCGCGCTCGCTCCTGTTGTAGCGGTGGTGTGTAGTAAACATCGCCCAATGGGGGAGACAAAGGCGGCCGGCCGTGGTACTGGCCACCCACTCCCTCTGTGTGTGCCACATTGTCAGCTTGCATAGGCAGTGCTGCTACTAGCTACTTCTAACAGCACTTGGCCCTACAGCCTGCTAGCGGCTACACGAGGGGACCTTTGTAATTGTCGTTGTTCGTGGGTCGATCCACTGCTGGCTGACCGCTCACAGGGCAGCCTCTGAGCGTGACCTCCCCTTCGCCTCCCTGTGTGCGTCCAGGACAACGTGATGCTCTCTCAGGCCGGCCACATGAGAGTCACCGATTTTGGTTGCAGCTTCTATGTGGACAATCAATGTGAGTGGCCTGACGTGTGTGTGTGTGTGCCTGTCCGGCAAAACAACCCCTACCTCCTCACGGTGCCGAACGGGCAACTCTATCGTGGACAGTGCTTTGGGCGGAGGGCTAATTCCGAATGGCTCCTCCCCTCATGGCGTCTGTGACCACCACAGGGGTTAAACGGGGGCTCTGGACGGGTGCGAGGGGCTGGTAACCCCTCCACCTTCAAAAGATTACCACGAAACTACGACTTAAATATGTAACTAATAAGCTTGTGCTGGAGGCCCCGGGGGGACAGGCGTCTATGACGTCTCCTGGCCAAACCCCAATTGGCGGAGCGAGGAGATTGAATCTCGGGGTTCCTCCAGAAACAATGAAAAGCCACTTCGTTTGGCCACGTGGAATGTTCGAACGCTCACTGCGGAGGAGGGGCTGCCACTCCTCTGTCGGGAGCTGGACCGGTACCGCCTGAATATCTGTGGCATTCAGGAGGTCCGGTGGACCAGTTCTGGCTCCTGTCACCATGAGGGGTGGAGAGTCCTCTACTCGGGGCAGCAGACTGCCAAACAACAGGGCGTGGCTCTTCTTTTTGAACAGAAGAATGAAGGGGGCGTGGGAGCGTGGCGGTGAGGTGTGGGGAAGCTGTAAGCCCCAGGCTACTTTGGGCTCGCCTTCCCATCAATCAGAGGCGAGGATTGGTGGTCGTGGTTACTTATGCCCCCACCGAAGACGAACATCCGTGGAGGGATACAGGCAAAGCCGATGAGTCAGATGCCTTCTATTACCTCCTGTCACAGGTGCTAGCTAAAGTGGCCCCTCGGGATAGAGTCATCTTGTTGGGTGACTTCAATGCCCGAGTTGGTCATGATGCTGGCACCTGGTCTGGAGTGATTGGAGGGCATGAGCCAGATCAGCTAAATAACGCTAGGAGGCTGCTAGATTTTTGTGCAGCCCATGGGCTTGTAATTACCTACACATTGTTCTGGCATTGGCGCATCCACACAACATCATGGATGCATGCCGGGTCCAGGCAAGAACATCTGCTGGACTACATAGTGACGGACCAGTGGATGCCCATGTACTTGACACCAGGACCTACCGTGGAGCTGATCTGCCCTCTGACCATCGACTAGTCATCTGTAAGATGCACCTGCCATTCTTCCACTCCGGTGGTGGGTGTACACCCAGGACCCCATTCCAACCTAAAGTGGCCTGGTCTCAGCTGATGAAAGTTGCAAGTGAGAATTTCATCACCGCGTGCGGCTGGGGTTGGCATCGTCCCCTACTCCTCCTGATGTCGAGGGTAAATCGGCGAGGTTTAGGACTGTGACTCATGCAGCTGCAATGGCTGCTTTGGGTACGCGGTCCAGACCTCCCCAGAGACCCTGGCTGACAAAAGAGGTGTTCAGGATGGTTGAGAAAAAGCGACAGGCCCACTCTCATCGGCTATAGCATTCCACGTCAGAGAATGATGAGGCTTACCGCTTTCGCTCGGAGGTTCGGAGAGCCGTGAGGCGCTGCAAGGATGGGTGGTGGTCGCGGGTTGCTACGGAGATGGAGTCTGCCTCAGTGGCCCGCGATCACAACTCCCTATTTAACTCCATCAAAAAAGTAACCTGCAGCGCCACACCAATTACCATCATTAGGGGAAGAAATGGTGATCCAATCTCCGACCCCCAGGAAAAGGTTTTCAGATTTGCTGAGCATTTCTGTGAGGCCCCCCCACGCATCAACGGGGTTTTCACCTGTTTTCTTATGTATGGCCGTGACAACGAACCCCCTGTTGAGGCCCAATTGGGCTTGGTCCCCTCCAAAGATGCTAATAGAATCGAGGAATCGCTCTGGTTCAACCTCGATAGGCTCCGGGAAGCACGGGAGGCTGCATTGACGAACACGACCAAGAGGCAGCTCGCCAATGAACGATTGACGGGCCGACATACCTCCAACCACAAATGGACCGTGGGTCACAAGGCATGGCTCCACTGTGGGCTGCGGCTGCACTTGCCTACAACGACAGGCAACCCAGAAGCGGGGGGGGGCTGTGGGGTGGTTCTAGAATCCCCCGCAGCCCCTCTCAACGGGTGGGGGCTGTGGGGTGTTCTACAATCCCACAGAGCCCTGCCCCTCGGCTGAGAACCGTATATAAGGCGGACCTCTGCAGAGGTTCGTGGCAGTTGAAGACCGAAGCCTGAAGACCTGCTAGAGTAGGACCTTAGACCCCTAACCCCGCTGTCCTTGTAAAAGCCGGGGCTCTGTGAGGCCAGTGGTGGACCCTGGGACTCTCTTACCTGATGTCCTTGTAAGGGCCAGGTCTGAGGAGCCAGTGGTTGGACCTGTACCTTGGCTGGGTCAGGTCAGACAGCCTCCCGTAAGGTATCATAGCCGGAGGACCTGGAGCGTAGTCGGGGTAGGAATGCTACGTAGGCGGCATATGATAGGCTGTGTGGAAGAAATACGTGAGATAGGCTGTACGAGTAGTTAGTGTACAGTAGTTAGTGGGGTGTGTGTAATAAATACGTGGCGTCTACAAGTGTCTCCGGAACTCACTACACAAGTACATTATCTCAGATTTTTCAAAAACAATGATGTGAATGGGGTGCAATATGTGCAATAGCTATGAGAGCCCCAGTTTTTCATGTCCAAAGGGTTGGAAGCCATTTGGGGGATGTTACATTTTGACCTTCTCCTTTGGCTGTACAGTCTGAACTAAACATTGTTCTTGCTATTTCAGGATGCTGATGAAGACTGTGTCGCAGGACCTTGCTCTACAAAGGATGAAAATCTACAACATCAAGACTAATACTTCAGAAGGTCCCGAAAACATCGGTATCGTGGTAGAGGGCATGAAAGTTCTGACTGCTCTGGGTAACTTTCCAAGGACTTGCTTCATGCTCGTTGGGTTGGCTTATGCATTGAATCTTGCCTATCCCAAGGAGTTCAGCTACACATTGGAAGTCTTCCAGAAACTCCTCCTCGAGCTGAATTGTTCAAAGCTGTCCCCAAAAGTGAACAGCCTCAAGAATAAACTACTAGCTTTAGAAAAGCGACCCTTGCAAAATGAAAGGGAATTGTTAAGTCACTGTTCTAACTGTTCAGGTCCCTGTTTTTACGGGCCTATTCAAGCAAAGGAGCGACAGGTCAGTGCAGTAGTAGACAGCGCTTAAAAGCTTGTTATGCAGAGGTAGCTTATAGTTTCTAATAACTGAGTCTGACTGTCAAAGTTCTGCGTTATAGGCCTATACATCTGATAGGCTATCAGAGAATGCACCGATTTGTCATTTAAAGCCATCTTTATTTTTGTTTAATGTTTGCTTTAATTTTTTTGGCTGTTTCTTTGGTGTTCTAACATTGTGCTTTCTTCTGATGTGACGCTGACCTAGGCCATTGCATGTGTTTGTTCGACAGGAATAGATGTAAGATGCAAGGAACATCTGTAGGCTGTGCTAGTTTACTTGTTAGGAAGCCATGCTTGTAATTGTGCATGTTAAAAAAGATAGGTCCACCTGGATTGTGGATCAATTCACGTGATGTTTTAATCTCTTTTAGCTGTTTTATAAACACATTGGCCCTTAGGATTTCAATTTGCGCACATAAGAAAGAAATATTATGAAAGTATCTTTACAGATTTTTTTTTTAAATATTGTCGTAATTTAAATGCACTAACAAGACTAAAACCTTGAATCACATCCAAAAAAGTAATCTGTGCCTGTAATGCCCACAAATCATTAATAGACTTCAGGTATTGTATCCCTATTGTACAGATACATGATTTCTGTCTTTGTTTTTTCATAGCCCCTCTTTATTTTGTACTTGTAATATGTTGGATAAACATGTTGAGACAAAATTGCACAAATAAATGTTAACCTGCTGTTCCTTTTCATAGTTCTTATCTTTTTCATGGTGCTCGGTTGACTTAACATAAGTGAATTGTGGCACCATGAAGGCATGCTATTGAGTGGATTAGAAATATAAATGTTATGGCAACAGACATTAAGTATTTTATTTAATAAATCCAAATCATTGATCCAGATATTTAGTAAGCTTATATCAATTTCACCCAGACAATTAGTACATGTAAATCAATTTCACCCAGATCATTAATAAATATTAATCAGATTCCACCAAATATTTAGTAAATCTAAATTACCATTGCTCAGATATTTAGTAAATATAAATCACTTTTCCTTGTAAAATCTATTTGTATTTACCCTATTTTTCAGGCTATATAACTCATCATTTGGCATGCCATTACTAAATCCAACACATTTTAACTGTTGCTTTTATTACCATGTGTCACTTCGTTGCCACAATTTATTTAAGTAACAATGGGTCACAATATAGACACCCAGAGAGACCTACAGATTTGCACGGTTGGCTACGTACGGCGCTAAAGAGGTTCAACATACAGGTTGGTGCTGATGAATTCTGACTACCCAATAAGTTGTATTTGTATTCTTGGGTCTTTCGGTAAAGTCACCACGTAGATAGGTTCAGAGAAAGTAGCAAAAAAACAAAAAACTACGACGTTTCGATCGCAACAAAAGCGGTCGTCAAAGACTTTTAAAACGGCCTGCATCAGCAGCTTTCCCCCTCCTTGTTTCCTCCTGATGACGATTGCTTGTGTTGCGATCGAAACGTCGTAGTTTTTTTGTTAATTTTTCTTTACCTATCTACGTGACTTTACCAAAAGCCCCAAGAATATTAATTCCTGCAGTCACGAAAGCTTCAAGTAAAGATTTAAGTTGTGTGTAGAGACAGTCCCCCGGGCTACGGAAGGGTGAGGAGGTGCCCCAGATCCATAACCCTGATGAGAGACGCAGACTCCAAATATACAGCAGCAGGCGTCAGGGTCGGCATCGCACCTACGACCTCCTGGATACCAGGCGAGGTAGTTAACATCTCATAGACGAGGTGAGGTGATGGGTGAGGTGAGACGAGGTGAGGTGATGGGTGAGGTGATGGGTGAGGAGAGACGAGGTGAGGTGATGGGTGAGGTGGGAGACGAGGCGATGGGTGAGGGGAGAGACGAGGTGAGGTGAGGAGAGACGAGGTGAGGTGATGGGTGAGGTGAGACGAGGTGAGGTGATGGGTGAGGTGAGACGAGGTGATGGGTGAGGAGACAGACGAGGTGATGGGTGAGGAGAGACGAGGTGAGGTGATGGGTGAGGTGAGACGAGGTGATGGGTGAGGAGAGAGACGAGGTGAGGTGAGGAGAGACGAGGTGAAGTGATGGGTGAGGTGAGACGAGGTGATGGGTGAGGAGAGACGAGGTGGGGTGATGGGTGAGGATAGACGAGGTGGGGTGATGGGTGAGGAGAGACGAGGTGGGGTGATGGGTGAGGAGAGACGAGGTGAGGTGATGGGTGAGGAGAGACGAGGTGGGGTGATGGGTGAGGAGAGACGAGTTGAGGTGATGGGTGAGGAGAGACGAGGTGAGGTGATGGGTGAGGAGAGACGAGGTGAGGTGATGGGTGAGGTGAGATTCGGTGAGGTGATGGGTGAGGAGAGACGAGGTGAGGTGATGGGTGAGGAGAGACGAGGTGAGGTGCTGCGTTAGGAGAGACGAGTTGAGGTGATGGGTGAGGAGAGACGAGGTGATGGGTGAGGAGACAGACGAGGTGATGGGTGAGGAGAGACGAGGTGAGGTGATGGGTGAGGAGAGACGAGGTGAGGTGATGGGTGAGGTGCGAGACGAGGCGATGGGTGAGGAGAGAGACGAGGTGAGGTGAGGAGAGACGAGGTGAGGTGATTGGTGAGGTGAGACGAGGTGATGGGTGAGGTGAGACGAGGTGATGGGTGAGGAGACAGACGAGGTGATGGGTGAGGAGAGACGAGGTGAGGTGATGGGTGAGGTGAGACGAGGTGATGGGTGAGGAGACAGACGAGGTGATGGGTGAGGAGAGACGAGGTGAGGTGATGGGTGAGGAGAGACGAGGTGGGGTGATGCGTGAGGATAGACGAGGTGGGGTGATGGGTGAGGAGAGACGAGGTGAGGTGATGGGTGAGGAGAGACGAGGTGAGGTGATGGGTGAGGAGAGACGAGGTGAGGTGATGGGTGAGGAGAGACGAGGTGGGGTGATGGGTGAGGATAGACGAGGTGGGGTGATGGGTGAGGAGACAGACGAGGTGATGGGTGAGGAGAGACGAGATGAGGTGATGGGTGAGGAGAGACGAGGTGGGGTGATGGGTGAGGATAGACGAGGTGGGGTGATGGGTGAGGAGAGACGAGGTGGGGTGATGGGTGAGGAGAGACGAGGTGAGGTGATGGGTGAGGAGAGACGAGGTGATGTGATGGGTGAGGAGAGATGAGGTGAGGTGATGGGTGAGGAGAGACGAGGTGAGGTGATGGGTGAGGTGAGACGAGGTGATGGGTGAGGAGACAGACGAGGTGATGGGTGAGGAGAGACGAGGTGAGGTGATGGGTGAGGTGAGACGAGGTGATGGGTGAGGAGACAGACGAGGTGATGGGTGAGGAGAGACGAGGTGAGGTGATGGGTGAGGAGAGACGAGGTGGGGTGATGCGTGAGGATAGACGAGGTGGGGTGATGGGTGAGGAGAGACGAGGTGAGGTGATGGGTGAGGAGAGACGAGTTGAGGTGATGGGTGAGGAGAGACGAGGTGGGGTGATGGGTGAGGAGAGACGAGGTGAGGTGATGGGTGAGGAGAGACGAGGTGAGGTGATGGGTGAGGAGAGACGAGGTGAGGTGATGGGTGAGGAGAGACGAGGTGGGGTGATGGGTGAAGATAGACGAGGTGGGGTGATGTGTGAGGAGACAGACGAGGTGATGGGTGAGGAGAGACGAGGTGAGGTGATGGGTGAGGAGAGACGAGGTGGGGTGATGGGTGAGGATAGACGAGGTGGGGTGATGGGTGAGGAGAGACGAGGTGGGGTGATGGGTGAGGAGAGACGAGGTGAGGTGATGGGTAAGGAGAGACGAGGTGGGGTGATGGGTGAGGAGAGACGAGGTGGGGTGATGGGTGAGGAGAGACGAGGTGAGGTGATGGGTAAGGAGAGACGAGTTGAGGTGATGGGTGAGGAGAGACGAGGTGAGGTGATGGGTGAGGTGAGACTCGATGAGGTGATGGGTGAGGAGAGACGAGGTGAGGTGATGGGTGAGGAGAGACGAGGTGATGTGATGGGTAAGGAGAGACGAGGTGGGGTGATGGGTAAGGAGAGACGAGGTGGGGTGATGGGTGAGGAGAGACGAGTTGAGGTGATGGGTGAGGAGAGACGAGGTGAGGTGATGGGTGAGGTGAGACTCGATGAGGTGATGGGTGAGGAGAGACGAGGTGAGGTGCTGCGTGAGGAGGGGGACGAGGTGAGGTGGAGGTTGACGAGGTGGTGAGGAGCAGCGAGACGCGCAGATCCCCCTCACCGATGTCGATCCGCGTTTCCCCCGCGGTGCCCGAGGCGCCATCGCGGGCGGAGGAGGCCGCGAGGACGACTCAGGGACAGCCGCCATTGCTGGGGCGAGACGGGGGTGGGGGGGCTCCCTTATCTACAACATAGCCGTGTAAGAATGCGTCCATAATGGATGCAGCCGATTGATCTGGTAAAGGCCATGTGACCAGCCACCAGGACAGGTACTCCACCCCGTCGAGCAAAACTTTGTTACCCCTCGGAGTGGTGGGAAATGGACCGAGAATGTTGAGAGCAACGAGCTCGTTCATACGGGACACCTCAATGGATTGCAATGGTCGCTGGGCCTGCCTCAGCGGGGGCTTATGGCGAGTGCACTCAACACAATCCTCAAGCATGTTGTGTACATCCTGTGACAGAAGTCGCGCTTCAAGGTGAATAAGGTTTTCCGCACCCCAAGGTGCACGATCCTCACATAGACAGCCCGCGTAACTCTACCTCACTGAGCAGTTAGCACGACGATGCAGTAACGCTGCACCTCCTCATCCCACCTCATCAGTAGCCCATCACGAAGGACCATAAGGGACATTCCCACTGGCCCCTTTCTACCACCCTTCGTTGCGACGCGGTGCCACAATTTTAACAGGGAGGCGTCCTCCGCCTGGAGGTGTCCCCATTCCGCGTGCGGGAGACCAATCGTGTTGTAGCAGGGAACATTTGCTGCGGGTGGTGAAACGTCAACCGACGCTACGACAGTGCACTGCAATCCTGCAACCACAGGTTAACATCGGCCGGCACTCAACAAACATGCACATTGACTCCTCCGCGCCAATAGGGACAAAGCGTCCACATTACAATGACGTGTAATTTTTCTGTAGGTGACCGTGAAGGAATCATCTTGAAAAAATTTCCAACCAGTGGGAGAGCTGGCTAGACGGCTGGTCAAACCGCAGCACATATGCAAGAGCTGCGTGATCCGTGCGTACGACAAACTGTCTACCGTAAAGGTACGGACGGTAAAGTTGTACGAAATTTACAATAGACAATCATTCGTGGTGCATCACACAATAACGCTGCTCTGCCGGGGACAGTACACGGCTCCCATGAGCTACGACCCTCTCTACCCTGTTCACCACCTGTGATATCACAATGCCGATTGCGGTGTCACTGGCGTCGGTGTCCAGCACAAATGGTAAAGAAAAATCGGGGTACCCAAGGGGAGGTGCGTTAATGAGGCCATCGCACAGTGCGACAAACACGGCCTCCTCCACCAGCTTTACACTTCTAGCCCTGCCTACTTCCCCCCCCCCACAGCCTCACTTACTCTTCCCCTAGCGCTCACGCAGCCCACCTCCTTCCCCTACCCCCCCTCTCTCTCCTCCCTTGCTCCTCCCTCCTTTCTTACCCATGTAACCTTTTGCCACATTAACCCTCTCGCCCACTTCAGCATTTTTTCTTGCTGTGATGATGATTGCTTGTGTTGCGATCGAAACATCGTGACAATACTTGTGGACAGAATGCAAAAAAAAACATACTCTGATTATATATGCATTGTCTTTGAATCTGATTAGTCCACACCATAGACAGCTTTCTTTTGAGCCTCGTCTCAAACGGTGTTATACCAGAGGATGCCAAAAAAGCATAGTTGACCGTAAGTATTGTGGTTAATGCAGACATGATTCCTTGTGAAAGGTTGTTTTGTTTCCAGAACAAAGGGGAAAGATCCTATTCTCATATTTTGATACTGGCAAAAGAGGTCCCATGACGTGCAATGACAGTAGGGTCAACCTGCGGTGTGAGTAGACTAGTGGCCACGGGAGGTAATGACAGAGGAGTCAGCCTGCAGTGTGAGTGGGCTAGTGGCCACGGGAGGTAGTGACAGGGTAGTCAGTCTGCAGTGTGAGTGGGCTAGTGGCCACGGGAGGTAATGACAGAGGAGTCAGTCTGCAGTGTGAGTGGACTAGTGGCCACGGGAGGTAATGACAGGGGAGTCAGCCTGCAGTGGGAGTGGACTGGTGGCCACGGGAGGTAATGACAGGGGAGTCAGCCTGCAGTACCAGTGGACTAGTGGCCACGAGAGGTAATGACAGGGGAGTCAGCCTGCAGTGTGAATGGTGGCTACAGGAACGATCGACAATTGGAGCGTGGCCAGATAACGTAAGAGGACAGTGAAATCTAGTCTTAAACCAGCAAGAAGGTTTGGGAATGGGGGATTGGCTTTGGACCGTATATAAGAGAGATGCGAGGGAGACTCGGGGCATTTGCACTGGGGTCTCCGCCTGTCCGAGTGTGAGCACTGGCTCCTTAATAAAGAAAACCTTCCCAGGACAAGTGCATCGAAGTCGTCATTACATATGCATATATTTATGTATACATATATAGCATTTAGTATGTATACAAATATTCATATATTTACATGTGTATATATATATAATTATTGCCCATAGCTCTGTCACTGGACGAAGTTCACGCGTGGTGGTTGTTGTGGTGGTGGTAGTCGTGGTGGTGATGTTTGTTGCTGCTGCTCTACCGCCTTCTCCTGGCGAGCACCAGGGCCACGTGGTGCCTCATTGACTCGCCCTCGTGGGGAGTTCACAGCAGCGTCAGTGCGTGATCCACCAACCCCTCCCCCCCCCTGCCCCACAGTGCTGGGTCACAGCGAGGCTGCAGGTTGCCCCTCAGTGTCTCTGTTTTGTTGTCGCCAATGAGGGACTCCCCCAGTGGCGGGAATCCAAAATGTCAGAATCTGTGTTTGTAGTGCAAGAGGAATCCGATGAGCTGTGAAGCTCTTTGTCACAGATGGTGCAGTGGTGAGGGGCGGGCGTGGAGGGAGCGCATGGGGGGAGGGGGGGGAGATGGGGAGCGGTGACGTCACCGCGTTGGGGGAGAGTGAGTGGTGACGTCACCACGTCCATGACGCAGCAGCAGCAGATGACTAAAACAACTGGGACATTGTTGGGGCCTTTTGTGTGTTGGCATCATCTCTTTATTTGTTTATTAATTTGTAGATTTAATTTGCTTGGCAGTGGCTGTGTAGAGGATTTGGTCCTCGTCTTTAATTAATAAACAGCGTTGTAGGATCCAATGAGCACAAATGACGCTGTAGACAACTACATTGTTGTTGTTTGTGCTCTATATTTTATTGTAGAATCGACGATCCAAGCGTTACAACGCCACTGTCGTACGCGTACATTTATATATTTTTTTTAAAATTAACATTATTGTTGTTGTAGAAACACATTGTGGTGCCGCCGCAGCGGAGCCGCTCCGTCGGGGCTGTACCCACCGCCGCGACGCCGCCACCGGTGCCTCGGATTCCCCGCCACTCTCCCGAGGCCGGTGCTCTCTCAGACGTCCGCTTGTGGTGCCGCCGCCGCTTGTGGTGCCGCTCCATCGGGGCCGCACTTACCACAGTGACGACGCTACGCGCCCTCGCCGCCACCCACCCACACGAATGCACGCACATCCCACGTAGAACCGGAAGGGAAGGTCACCTGGCCGACAGGTTTTTATCCAGAAGCCCCTAATGGGATCAAGCTTCATGGTTCCTGCGGCCGGGAAATTGGGCCATCTACCCCCGAGGCTGACATACACCGCGGCACCGTGACCTGATATTAAAGTTACATGGTCACAGCGGAGGCCGTAGAGCCACCGCGAGTGAAAACCGCACACACACAAACATGAGTCAGTGGGCCGATAGCGAGAAGAATGGAGAGCGAACGTTCGAGAAACCACCACGGTGACATCACCAGAGCATGATCAAAGTACCGGAGAAGGCGGGAAAAGCCGGGCCTCCGATTGGGCAGGAGGCCAAGGGGCGTACGGAACTGAATGCCTGCTGTTAGAGATAGCATTAGGAACTGAATGCCTTTTGTTATAGGTGAGATTACGGATCCAAATAAAAACGGGACAGGAACATTCAGACATCTGAATGGACAGGGCGGCATGACTGCGGAAGCAACTGAATGCCTTTTGTTATAGGTGAGATTACGGATCCCAAATGTCAGAGGAACAGAAATCTCTCAGCCTCCGATTGGACAGAGGGGCACGAGTGCAGTAACAACTGAATGCCTTTTGTTATCGGTGGGATTAGGGATCTGAATGTCAAAGGGACAGAAATATCTCAGCCTCCGATTGGACAAAAGGGCACGGGTGAGCAAGTGCAGGGTCCGCGGAATGCCTTTTGTGATAGGTAGGATAAAAGGCAGGTGATTGAGACAGTAAAGACTAAGTTCTCCCAGTCATCAAAGTCCACGGAGCATCGGAGCCGGCCGTTCGGATCGTCCGTGTGACGAGTTTCAGCACAGCCAGGCACCACCTTCTACGGAGACGACCCATAGCATCGTCCTTCTACAACTTCCAGCGCATCAGAGTGGAAGTAAGCGTGAGTAAGAGAGAGAGGTGAGTGTGGGGCTATTTAATCGAGGGTAGAAAGTGGAGCGATTGGCAGGATAAATTGAGCCGTGGATTCCCGAAGGATAAGCTAGGAGGGCCTGCTGACTCACACAGACACACGCAGTTATGCGGGATATTCGCGGGGAATAAAACCGCTAATAGAGGATAAAACTGTGTCATGGTCGCTGTGAGTACGAAGAGGGAGGCAGAGTGTTTTGTGCTCGCGCGCATACGCGGCTGTTTGCGGCGAATAAGGGAGTGTAGCGTCTGGTGATCGCGTGCACGCACGGTTGCTTACAACGAGGCGGAGTACTTAGTGTGCGCATGCCTACGCGGCTGTTTACGGGAGTGCTTGGCGTTTGCGTACCCGTGCGACTGTTTACGGGAGGGTCTTGCGGTCGTGTGCAAGCGCGGTTGTTTGTAGCGAAGCAGAGAGCTAAGCGCCTGGTGTGCGCGTATACGCACGGCTGTTTAAACGGACCTTTAAATCGGAGCGGAGTGGCTCCCTCCAATCAGCGGCGCGTGCACGGCAAAACGCCCTTTCCCTCTCACCCCCGAACCCCAACTCCCTCGAGTGTGATTGGTGTACGGGGCTGGGCAGGTAGCGGCGTCGGGTTTGCTATTGCCTGGGTGCGTAGAGCGTGTGTGTGAGGGAATCACGCGTCGGCACACCGCACCCATTTGTTTGCGTACGGGAGTCACGCATCGGTATGCCGTGCCCGTTTGTTCACGCGCGGGACGGAGTCCTGCTTCACGAACACGCTCACCGCAGCACGCCGCCACTGAACCCGCATAGCGCGCCGCAAGCGTAAAGCGTCCAAGCCCACTAATTGAGCCATGCCTACGCGGTTGACAACACAGTCAGGGGTACAGGGGGGCGAGGAGTCGGGGGTCGGTAACCCGAACCCTACAGAACTGCCAGGGGGTAGGAGTATGAATGTAATGGGGGAGTCGGGGGACAGCGGCCCCGACAATTTGGTGATGGCGGGGGACGGTAGCCCCCACAACATCCCAGTTCACCAATGCTAATCACTGACACCCCTACACTACAGCTACACTCCTCTGACAGGGTGAATATATCCACTTTGGCTTCAAACACAGAGCAGTACTTATTTTATCACCCCCTTAGAAAAGTTGCGAGGATTGTTTACGCTCAGCCCCCCATTGTGATGGAGAGCCACACAGCCCCTCGCCACCGACAGCCACCAGCCAGTCACAGGCGTGGCACTGTGCGTGATGGTGATGAGGCTGACGAGCACCGTGCGTCGTGGTGTCTGCCCTCCATGCTGTTCACGTTCACCGCTCTCAGGACGCACCACTCAGATCCACAATCCTCACTGAGTCACCAAATTTACCCCACCCAACCAAAAGCCCAGGATGTAGGGGCTGATCAAAGGTTTGGTGAAACGAGTGCAACGGCGCCATGGAGTCTGCGCTGTAAAACGACAGCAGCCCCGCGTCCCAGTCGAGATGGACCCCGACTCTCCCTTGAGGCTCCGGCACTGACAGTGACGTCACTACCCCGCCATGATGCACTGAGAAGCTGTCGCCAAGTTTCTGCAGACACCAGGAGACGTCATTCCCTCCCAGGAGGCACTCATCACCACTCCCTCTCCGTGGGATCGTGCCGTACGCGACTCCAACCCGACACAACTCCACGCTCCCCACGTCCACCTCCCAGTAGTGCTGACCCGACGAGAAGCTCTCAGAGCACAGGGCTTGTCCCCAGACATCAAAGCGGTGTGGGTGATGGGGGCGACTCTGGGGGACACCGCTCACCATCACCGTCCTGAGATCCGAGGAAATCTGGAGGCGGTTGTGGGCTGAGTTTGTGTCCAGAGTCGGTGAGCGTCCACCTGTGGTGAGGACAGCGACGACGCTCGCACAGCGGTCACGGCCACGTGGGCGCAGTAGCGGCACGAGCAGTGCAGGTGGCGTGTACACACACACAGACACGTGGCGTGTACACACACACAGACACGTGGCGTGTACAAACACACAGACACGTGGTGTGTACACACACACAGACACGTGGCGTGTACACACACACAGACACGTGGCGTGTACACACACACACAGACACGTGGTGTGTACACACACACAGACACGTGGCGTGTACACACACACAGACACGTGGCGTCTACACACACACAGACACGTGGTGTGTACACACACACAGACACGTGGCGTGTACACACACAGACACGTGGCGTGTACACACACACACAGACACGTGGCGTGTACACACACACAGACACGTGGTGTGTACACACACACAGACACGTGGCGTGTACACACACACAGACACGTGGCGTGTACACACACACAGACACGTGGCGTGTACACACACACAGACACGTGGCGTGTGCACACACACACAGACACGTGGTGTGTACACACACACAGACACGTGGCGTGTACACACACACAGACACGTGGTGTGCACACACACACAGACACGTGGCGTGTATACACACACAGACACGTGGCGTGTGCACACACACAGACACGTGGTGTGTACACACACACAGACACGTGGTGTGTACACACACACAGACACGTGGTGTGTACACACACACAGACACGTGGCGTGTACACACACACAGACACGTGGCGTGTACACACACACAGACACGTGGCGTGTACACACACACACAGACACGTGGCGTGTACACACACACAGACACGTGGCGTGTACACACACACAGACACGTGGCGTGTACACGTGGTGTGTACACACACACAGACACGTGGCGTGTACACACACACACAGACACGTGGTGTGTACACACACACACAGACACGTGGTGTGTACACACACACACATACACGTGGTGTGTACACACACAGACACGTGGCGTGTACACACACACAGACACGTGGCGTGTACACACACACAGACACGTGGCGTGTACACACACACAGACAGGTGGCGTGTACACACACACAGACAGGTGGCGTGTACACACACACAGACAGGTGGCGTGTACACACACACAGACACGTGGCGTGTACACACACACAGACACGTGGCGTGTACACACACAGACACGTGGCGTGTACACACACACAGACACGTGGCGTGTACACACACACAGACACGTGGCGTGTACACACACAGAGACACGTGGCGTGTACACACACAGACACGTGGCGTGTACACACACACAGACACGTGGCGTGTACACACACACAGACACGTGGCGTGTACACACACACAGACACGTGGCGTGTACACGTGGTGTGTACACACACACAGACACGTGGCGTGTACACACACACACAGACACGTGGTGTGTACACACACACACAGACACGTGGTGTGTACACACACACATACACGTGGTGTGTACACACACAGACACGTGGCGTGTACACACACACAGACACGTGGCGTGTACACACACACAGACACGTGGCGTGTACACACACACAGACACGTGGCGTGTACACACACACAGACACGTGGCGTCTACACACACAGACACGTGGCGTGTACACACACACAGACACGTGGCGTGTACACACACACAGACACGTGGCGTCTACACACACACAGACACGTGGCGTGTACACCCACACACAGACACGTGGCGTGTACACACACACAGACACGTGGCGTGTACACACAAACATACACATGGCATGTACACACACACAGACAGGTGGCGTGTACACACACACAGACAGGTGGCGTGTACACACACACAGACACGTGGGGTGTACACACACACACAGACACGTGGCGTGTACACACACAGACACGTGGCGTGTACACACACAGACACGTGGCGTGTACACACACACAGACACGTGGCGTGTACACACACACAGACACGTGGCGTGTACACACACACAGACACGTGGCGTGTACACACACACAGACAAGTGGCGTGTACACACACACAGACACGTGGCGTGTACACACACAGACACGTGGTGTGTACACACACAGACACGTGGCGTGTACACACACAGACACGTGGCGTGTACACACACACAGACACGTGGCGTGTACACACACACAGACACGTGGCGTGTACACACACACAGACACGTGGTGTGTACACACACACACAGACACGTGGCGTGTACACACACACAGACACGTGGCGTGTACACACACACAGACACGTGGCGTCTACACACACACAGACACGTGGCGTCTACACACACACAGACACGTGGCGTGTACACACACACAGACACGTGGCGTGTACACCCACACACAGACACGTGGCGTGTACACCCACACACAGACACGTGGCGTGTACACACAAACAGACACGTGGCGTGTAGACACACACAGACACGTGGCGTGTACACACACACAGACACGTGGCGTGTACACACACACAGACACGTGGCGTGTACACACACACAGACACGTGGCGTGTACACACACACAGACACGTGGTGTGTACACACACACAAACACGTGGCGTGTACACACACAGAGACACGTGGCGTGTACACACACAGACACGTTGTGTGTACACACACACAAACACGTGGCGTGTACACACACAGAGACACGTGGCGTGTACACACACACAGACACGTGGCGTGTACACACACACAGACACGTGGCGTGTACACACACACACAGACACGTGGCGTGTACACGTGGTGTGTACACACACACAGACACGTGGCGTGTACACGTGGTGTGTACACACACACAGACACGTGGCGTGTACACACACACAGACACGTGGTGTGTACACACACACAGACACGTGGTGTGTACACACACACACAGACACGTGGTGTGTACACACACAGACACGTGGCGTGTACACACACACAGACACGTGGCGTGTACACACACACAGACACGTGGCGTGTACACACACACAGACACGTGGCGTGTACACACACAGACACGTGGCGTGTACACACACACAGACACGTGGCGTCTACACACACACAGACACGTGGCGTGTACACACACACAGACACGTGGCGTGTACACACACACAGGCACGTGGCGTGTACACACACACACAGACACGTGGCGTGTACACACACACAGACACGTGGCGTGTACACACACACACAGACACGTGGCGTGTACACCCACACACAGACACGTGGCGTGTACACACAAACAGACACGTGGCGTGTACACACACACAGACACGTGGCGTGTACACACACACAGACACCTGGCGTGTACACACACACAGACACGTGGCGTGTACACACACACAGACACGTGGCGTGTACACACACACACAGACACGTGGCGTGTACACACACACACAGACCCGTGGCGTGTACACACACAAACAGACACGTGGCGTGTACACACAAACAGACACGTGGCGTGTACACACACACAGACACGTGGCGTGTACACACACACAGACACGTGGCGTGTACACACAAACAGACACGTGGCGTGTACACACACACAGACACGTGGCGTGTACACACACACACAGACACGTGGCGTGTACACACACACAGACACGTGGCGTGTACACACACACAGACACGTGGCGTGTACACACAGACAGACACGTGGCGTGTACACACACACAGACACGTGGCGTCTACACACACACAGACACGTGGCGTGTACACACACACAGACACGTGGCGTGTACACACAAACAGACACGTGGCGTGTACACACACACAGACACGTGGCGTGTACACACACACAGACACCTGGCGTGTACACACACACAGACACGTGGCGTGTACACACACACAGACACGTGGCGTGTACACACACACACAGACACGTGGCGTGTACACACACACACAGACCCGTGGCGTGTACACACACAAACAGACACGTGGCGTGTACACACAAACAGACACGTGGCGTGTACACACACACAGACACGTGGCGTGTACACACACACAGACACGTGGCGTGTACACACAAACAGACACGTGGCGTGTACACACACACAGACACGTGGCGTGTACACACACACACAGACACGTGGCGTGTACACACACACAGACACGTGGCGTGTACACACACACAGACACGTGGCGTGTACACACAGACAGACACGTGGCGTGTACACACACACAGACACGTGGCGTCTACACACACACAGACACGTGGCGTGTACACACACACAGACACGTGGCGTCTACACACACACAGACACGTGGCGTGTACACACACACACAGACACGTGGCGTGTACACACACACACAGACACGTGGCGTGTACACCCACACACAGACACGTGGCGTGTACACACACACAGACACGTGGCGTGTACACACACACAGACACGTGGCGTGTACACACACACACAGACACGTGGCGTGTACACGTGGTGTGTACACACACACAGACACGTGGCGTGTACACACACACAGACACGTGGTGTGTACACACACACAGACACGTGGTGTGTACACACACACACAGACACGTGGTGTGTACACACACAGACACGTGGCGTGTACACACACACAGACACGTGGCGTGTACACACACACAGACACGTGGCGTGTACACACACACAGACACGTGGCGTGTACACACACAGACACGTGGCGTGTACACACACACAGACACGTGGCGTCTACACACACACAGACACGTGGCGTGTACACACACACAGACACGTGGCGTGTACACACACACAGGCACGTGGCGTGTACACACACACACAGACACGTGGCGTGTACACACACACAGACACGTGGCGTGTACACACACACACAGACACGTGGCGTGTACACCCACACACAGACACGTGGCGTGTACACACACACAGACACGTGGCGTGTACACACACACAGACACGTGGCGTGTACACACACACAGACACCTGGCGTGTACACACACACAGACACGTGGCGTGTACACACACACAGACACGTGGCGTGTACACACACACACAGACACGTGGCGTGTACACACACACACAGACCCGTGGCGTGTACACACACACAGACACGTGGCGTGTACACACAAACAGACACGTGGCGTGTACACACACACAGACACGTGGCGTGTACACACACACAGACACGTGGCGTGTACACACAAACAGACACGTGGCGTGTACACACACACAGACACGTGGCGTGTACACACACACACAGACACGTGGCGTGTACACACACACACAGACACGTGGCGTGTACACACACACAGACACGTGGCGTGTACACACACACAGACACGTGGCGTGTACACACACACACAGACACGTGGCGTGTACACACACACACAGACACGTGGCGTGTACACACACACACAGACACGTGGCGTGTACACACACACAGACACGTGGCGTGTACACACACACAGACACGTGGCGTGTACACACACACACAGACACGTGGCGTGTACACACACACAGACACGTGGCGTGTACACACACACAGACACGTGGCGTGTACACACACACAGACACGTGGCGTGTACACACACACAGACACGTGGCGTGTACACACAAACAGACACGTGGCGTGTACACACACACAGACACGTGGCATGTACACAGACACGTGGCGTGTACACACACACAGACACGTGGCGTGTACACACACACACAGACACGTGGCGTGTACACACACACAGACACGTGGCGTGTACACACACACAAACACGTGGCGTGTACACACACACAGACACGTGGCGTGTACACACACACAGACACGTGGCGTGTACACACACACAGACACGTGGCGTGTACACACACACAGACACGTGGTGTGTACACACACAGACACGTGGTGTGTACACACACACAGACACGTGGCGTGTACACACACACAGACACGTGGCGTGTACACACACACAGACACGTGGTGTGTACACACACACAGACCCGTGGTGTGTACACACACACACAGACACGTGGTGTGTACACACACAGACACGTGGTGTGTACACACACAGACACGTGGTGTGTACACACACGCAGACACGTGGCGTGTACACACACACAGCCACGTGACGTGTACACACACACAGACACGTGGCGTGTACACACACAGACACGTGGCGTGTACACACACACAGACACGTGGTGTGTACACACACACACAGACACGTGGTGTGTACACACACACAGACACGTGGCGTGTACACACACACAGACACGTGGCGTGTACACACACACAGACACGTGGCGTGTACACACACACACAGACACGTGGCGTGTACACACACACAGACACGTGGCGTGTACACACACACAGACACGTGGCGTGTACACACACACAGACACGTGGCGTGTACACACACACAGACACGTGGCGTGTACACACACACAGACACGTGGCGTGTACACACACACAGACACGTGGCGTGTACACACACACAGACACGTGGCGTGTACACACACACAAACACGTGGTGTGTACACACACACAGACACGTGGCGTGTACACACACACAGACACGTGGTGTGTACACACACACAGACACGTGGCGTGTACACACACACACAGACACGTGGCGTGTACACACATACACAAACACGTGGCGTGTACACACATACACAGACACGTGGCGTGTACACACACACACAGACACGTGGCGTGTACACACATACACAAACACGTGGCATGTACACACATACACAGACACGTGGCGTGTACACACACAGACACGTGGCGTGTACACATACACACAAGCTGCTGTTGCGTTGTCTGTTGTGTTGTGGTCGTACCGCACTACGTGGTACGTTGATCATCACGTATATGACAAATGCATACAGGACTGGTATTCGTTAGTATTAGTGTACACATTCTAATATTCGTTAGTATTAGTGTACACATACTCATATTCGTTAGTATTAGTGTACACATACTAATATTCGTTAGTATTAGTGTACACATTCTAATATACGTTAGTATATGTGTGCACATTCTGGTAATCACTTGTGAATAATAATTAGTGAATAATAAAAAAAATAACTATTGTACTACACTACCATAACCATGGGTGTGTGTGCAGTCGCAGTGAACAGTGGTGATGATGGTAGCACCACGATGTTAACGCCACTCTCACAACGCACACTCACATCCACGCACAGACGCTGTGTGTCACTCCGCTGCTGGATGAGCGCCTCCCAGCGCCGTGCACGTCCTGGGGGCGGGGGGTTATTTGACCATACTTCACCGCTCTGTTCGGTGCCCGTTGGCGATGGTGGGTATCGTGAACGAAGAAGCGTAGAGGTAGCGTACAACAATGGTTCACGATGCGCTGCCCTCTGCTGCCCACCCCGTCACAACAGTTGAAAGTGTTTATTAAATTAAATCAACGTTGATGCCCAAATCTCTACCGGGTCCTCCAGTTTTTCCCTCCACTGGCAGCGAGTATTTGGCTGCTACTATGACTGTCCACACGGTGGCGATATCAGCCACTTGGTTGAGCTACAATTTGTGGTGGCCTGGTCGCTTCTGAACAAGATCTACACCGCTCGGTGGGGCCTTATCTGGTAAAATAAAATGAGATAAGTCTATGGGTCTCTATGTATCTATGGGTCTCTATGTATTTCCATGTGTCCCTTGGTATCTTTATTGTTCACTATGTGTGACTATGGGTCTAGTATATATATGGGTCTCTCTGTATCTATATGGGTCTCTATATTTGGCTGCTGATATAATCATCCACGTGATGACGATGATGACGATGTCAGCCATTTGGTTGAGCTATCATTTGTGACAGCCAGCTCGCTTTTGAACAAGAGCTACTTAGCTCAGTGGGGCCCTGCGCCTGGTCAAATAAAAACACGTTAAATAGGATTGTCACAGAGCCCCGCAGCCTATAGCACCTGCTATGCACGGCGGTCACTAATCCCAGCACTAGCCAAGCTCAACCCTGCTAAGCCAGTAATCAATCCCACGTTGTGCAGCGCGTCATCCGCTGTCCCACCACTCCCACAGTGTGTACACTAACTGTTAAGCATATTAACTGGTGGGTAGGTGAATGAGTGGGTGAATGAGTGGGGGTGTGCATAGGTAAGTGATTGGGTGAATAAGTGGGTGAGTGAGTAGGTGAGTGAATGAGTGAGGTAGTAAGAGTGAGTGGGTGTGGGGAGTGGTAACAGCCGTGGGTGCACTGCACTACGTAGATCTTTTTCAGAAGCGACCTGGCCACAAATACTGATTGCTCATCGAAGCGGCTTTTCACGTGGAAATGTATACTAGCCAAATACCATAAAGGCAGATTTCTAAATGTAGAGGGAAAAAAACCGGAGGACCCGAAGAAAAATTCACGCGACCACAGCGAGAGAGACACACAAACTCCAAATATACAGGCATCAGGATGGGGATTGTAAACCAGGCGAGGTAGTTAACATATACTTAGCCACTGTGGTGTATACAACAGTGCTTGTACCGGAGCATAGACATTTCCATCTGTGTGTATGAATACACTCGGTCTAGTCACGAGTACTCTTGATGTCATAGTCCTACAGCGCTTAAATCCTCACAGCTATGCTGCAGTGTGGCTCTCTGAGCTTTGGGGCATAATTTCCTTTTCAAATCGAGGTTTCCGGACGCAAATTTGCCGAGCGTGCAGCAACAAGCAGCACAATACAAGTTGACGTGGGCAAGGTTCGTGTAGGAGCTTGGGAGCAGAGACGAGGGGAGGGATCTTCCAAGTGGAGCGGAGCGAGGGGAAGACGCAGAAAGAGAAGTGAGGTGACCTAGAGTGTGGTGAGTGGGTGGGCGGGTGAGTGAGTGGTTGAGCAGGTAGGTGAGTGAGTGGGGTAATAAGAGTGAGGTAGTAGGAGTGTGAGTGAGTGTTTTCCCAATTTTACTAAGTTTTTGTTTTATTAGGCGTGCTTTATCTCTCTCTGTGCGCCTATGTGTGTGTCTCTCTCTGCTTATGTGTCTGTCTATGTGTCTCCGTGTCTGTGTTTTGTCTCTATCTCAAATTCAGCAATCTTTGGAAGAACGTAATCAACCAGGTTGGGTGTTGACTGTTACATTTACATTCCGTTGTACTTTTTAAGTCCTGGTTGTGAAGGCTGCCTTCGCCATGATGAAACAGCTGCAGTCACTATTCTGCTCTTCGTTTGATCTTAACAATTTCATCACGATTTGCCTGCAGTGAGAGCCTTAAGTACAGTAAGTTATTTATCATTTGGCTCTCGTTCATTTTAATTCTCACCTAGCAGCCACTTTCCTCAACCAACCGTGAACCCACTGCACCCACTTATGATGGCCGGCGTCTAAATGAGCGTGACGGGACTGGAATGTACTTCGTCCATAGCTTACAAAGTAGCCCTTTTGCACTCAAGAAACGCATTCACATTGATGTTGTTTGCAACTCTTGATGAGTGAGACGCTTCGTATTGCTAGCGATCTTTCACCCAGCACCTCGGTGCCCGTTTCGTGACCTGAATGTATGCATATCTCCCTTGCCAAGGGGTCATGCTGCATTGATGCACCAAAGCCTGTGTAAAATAAAGGACGCCCTCCAAATGGGTAGGATTTGTCAGCAATCCGGAGCCTGTAATGGAGTCTAACGAAGATCGTCTTGGCAGAGAGACGTACCGAGAAAAGACAGAAGTTTAGTTTGGACGCCGCCCACTGAGATGACTTTTGCGAGGTTCAGACCGCAGGAGATGGGCGCTGGGTCATCCTGAGTCTCCTGGGAGACTGAGCTCCTCCTGCACTCACAGCACAGGACGGACACAGACTCTAATGAGGGTCCAAGTCTCTCTACACTCACAGCACGAGACACACAGAGTCTAATGAGGGTCCATGTCTCTCTACACACACAGCATGAAACACAGTCTAATGAGGATCCATGTCTATCTACACTCACAGCATGAGACACACAGAGTCTCATGAGGGTCCATGTCTCTCTCCTAACAGCACGAGACACACAGAGTCTATTGATGGTCCATGTCTCTCTACAAATGGACAATACAGGAACCCTCGACTTACGAACGCCCGTACTTACAAACCAGCTTCCATTATATAAAAAGTAGCATTCATTTAAAGTGCAATCTCGCAGTTGCAAACTGAACTGTAGAACAGAGGAGCGATTCTCCGCCAGATATAATGAGTCGGCCTCGTGCTGGGAGTGTTTGCGTGTGTACGAACATTGTGTGTGTGTGTGAAAGTGTGGGAGGTACAGCTGGTACATCTACCAGTCATATCAGTCAAAGCCAACCCATGGCACCTGGGTCTGTCCTGAGACCTCGTGTGAGCGAGCCTTCGACATTTCACGTGGCCTCAAAGTGCACTTGGCCTGGCACAGGTGCCATGGTGACGTCACCGTTACTTAGTGGCAAATGACGGATATTGGTATTGATGTGGGGAGCGGTAGTGTAGCGATGAGAGTGCACCGCGCTACAAAAGCGGCGACCCGAGTTCCATTCTTGCTCACGGTCAACACCAGTACCTGGTGCGGTGCATAAACATCGCCAGCAGGGAGACAAAAGCAGCGGGCCGTTACGCTGGCCACCCACCCCCTCGTGTGCCACAAGCGCTGCTTGCTGAGAGTACTTGCCCCAAACAGCCTGTTAAGGCTACACTGGGGATTGTTGTCGTTGGGGTGTCTTTGACTTTGTGTGTGCATGCGTGCCCTGTTTGTTGTGGTGACTCATTGCCCTCCTTCCGACAACAAGCCAGCATCAATGTAAGTGAAAATAAAGTTTGTTTTCTATTTAAGCTCATTTGTTTTATCTTTAATTTACTATACAGTAAACATTTAACAGTGCTAGATGACAATGTACAACATTTCTTATTAATTATGAGTTTAACAATGCTTCCCTCTTTGTTGAACCATAACACATTTCCTAACCGTGTCGGCATTTAAATATGGTGCATTATTGTTTTACGACTTACGAACCGTTCGACTTACAAACGAGTCTCGGCAACAAATTACGTGCGTAACCCGAGGACTGCCTGCATGGGATACAATTGACCGTATGGGATGCAACTGAATAAAGGGGTTTATTAAAAATCACATCACGACCGTTTGCGGATTTGTCCACCAGGTGGCAGACAGAGCTCAAGTTTGAGTCTGGGTTGGTACTGACCGGAGATTCTCATGCACGGAATCCTGAAAAACACAAACCCGCATTTCACATTAACATTGACATTCTAAACAGATGCCCCACCTCCACACAATCACCTGACACTTACAATGCAGCGCAACATTAAGGAATTAATAAATACCTGTAAACAGAGAATGATGGAAAACATAAATTCCGTATTTTTCCGTATATAACCCGTAGAGGCATATACCCGCAAAAATAGCGTTTTGTGTAAAACAAATTTCAGATAGCCCGCACCTCCATATACCCCTCATGCATTCATATATTTAACGTCGTTACCGCAGCTTAATTCCATCATATTAATACGAAGTTTACATTTGTAATACATTCCACTATCAATTGTTAACATTAAAATCATGACGTTCACAAAGAAAAAAAAACTAACGGGAAACGTGTGAACTTAAAACAGTAAGTAACAAAAGTAAGTATACAATAAATAACACATAAATGGAAGATAAGTACAGTTTTAGCACTGGTAGATTAGCACACTGCGCAAATAATAGCAGCACTCCGGTTACGCCGTTGCCTCGCCCCCAACCGCCCGACCTCTCTCTCCCCCCAGCTACCCCACCCCCCAACCCCCTACCTCTCTCTTTTTTCCCCCAGCTCTCCCGTCGCCGGTAAACAGTGCGCACACTTCAAACATTATCGTTTAATTGTACAAACAATTCATTTAAAACGTGATAACGTGTGAAATTTTAGTGTGAGTGGTTTATTCAGCAGTGCTTTAGTCAAAGGTAAGTGTTGCATAGTGGATAGTTCTACCATGAAAAAAATAAACGAGTCATGACATGTCACACGTGTAAAATATTTTTGGGATAGCCCGCACCTCCATATACCCCGCATGGTCTTGTTTTGATTGTAAAAAGTGGTATACTCCGCGGGTTATATGCGGGAAAATACGGTATTTGTGGGACCTATTTGCCAAGATCGATATGATGAAAAAAAATTAGGACGAGACTTTATCATTTATGGCAATTAAAATAGGTGTTAAGATGTTCTTAACACCAAACAGATACCCATTGCAAGGCATCACTGTTCAACCAGAGCTATTAATACTTTGAAAATTGTATTGTTAAGCCTATTCTCATCAAAAACAGGATTTGTTTAACTGGACACGGACCCCAACAAATGACAAAACCACTCTTTGTAGGTCTAGTCTAGCAGCTAAACAAATGGTTTAATAACACGCAACAACTAGTGTTGTTGAGCTCTGAATAACCCAAACTTTACCGAAAGAACCAAAGAAGACCAAACTAAACTGTTTAATTTTACCAGGTAAGGCCCAATGAGCTATGTCAATCTTTTTCAGAAGCAACTCAACCACAAATGACAGCTCAACAAAATGACTCATCATGTGGATATTTATAGTAGCAGCCAAATACTTTAAACGCGTGATGTTGATTCTAAATATGGAGCGGAAAAACGGAGAAAAATCTACGCTACCAGGGGGGGGGGGGAGAAAAAGACAGAGAGAGAAACGCAAACTGTAAATTTACAGCAGGCATCGTCAGTGTCGGGGTTGGAGAAAAAATGCACGTATCCACGAGAAGAGATAGAGGCGCAAACTCCAATTATACAGCAGACGTCAGGGTTGGTATCAAACCCACGACGTCCTGCATACCACGCGAGGTAGTTAACATCTCCTAACCACCGCGGCGAGAGAATGGAGGTGGTGCCACCTGCAGGAAGGAGAGCGGGTCCTGCACGTTGAGGGCGGGGAGCAGCTGGTTGATCTCCTGCTCCAGGCCGCGTGCTCTGCTCTCGTAGCGAGCGATGTCCGCCTGAATACTGGACAGCACGTAGCGGCCCTCCTCGTCCACGCGCTGCAGCGCCTTCCTCTCCTCCTCCCTCAGCTGCTCCCTCCGGCGCTCAAACTCTCGACTTATCCGCGCCGTGGCCCCACGCAGAGACTCCTACGCAGACATACGATGGCGAACTATTGAAACGCAATACAAAACAAGTGCGATGTGACTTCAAAAAGGACTTTGACACGGTCAGATCTCATAACTCCGTACGAAGAGGCAGGTGACTTAATTTTTTTTTATAACGTCGAGTATTGAAATGCATGAAAGGAGGAGATTTAGCAAGAATATTCATGGCCAATCTTATGCCAAATTCTAAGTACCCATATTGTTTGCGTATTTGTCTATATCTGCACGTGTCTGTGTGTCTCTGTACCAGCACGTGCTTGTAGGCACCCTTGAGCTGCTGTGTTCGTGATTCTGCCGTAGTTTTCTTCTTCTCTCTCGCCGTCTTCTCGAGTATCAACGCCTCAGGGGGCGCCGTCCTCGTCCCTCCTGGCTTGGGCCGGGACCCCCTGGGGCCCGGGACCCCGTGGGGCCCATATACTCTGCGAGGCCCCCGGGTATCGGGGGTGTGGGGACCCCGGAGTTTTGGGGTCTTTGAACGGCGGAGTTTTCCCTCGCTGGGGCCGCCCTCCACGGTTTTAGTCGCCGAACATTAACTACCATCTCCCGGCCCCTCTCCCCCCCCTGAATCAGTACCGTCCAGGGGGAGATCTGTCGCCCCACCGTCCAGGGCCCCCGCCAGTATGTGGTTAGCTTCCCCACCTGCCCGGCCCCGACGCGAGGGGTGTGCAGCCATACCTTAGAGCCCGCCGAGTAGAAGGGGGGCTCCATCCGGGGTTGGGCGCCCCGCTCCTGCCGCCGGTGTGCGGTCTCGCCTTGCGGGTAGGCACGGACCCTAGCTTCTCGCAGGGTCCCCATCAGGTGCTCCACGGGGCGGCTCCCTTCCTCCCATTGCGGCGGGGGGACACCGAACAGCAGATCTGTAGGCAGGCGAGACTCGCGACCAAACATCATTAGGAACTGGGTCTGTCCCGTGGATGTGTGTACTGTGGTGGCGTAGGCGAGCAGCGCATAGGGGAGGTGTTCGTCCCAGTCCCGTTTATTCGCGGCCGCCATGCGTTTAAGCTTCCCCGCTAGGGTCTGGTTCATTCTCTCTACCATCCCATTTGCCTGGGGGTGATACGCCGTAGTTCGGTCCTTCTGGATCCCGAACTCCCGGCACAGTGCCTGGAATAGTTCTGCCTCGAACTCACTACCCTGGTCAGTAATGACCCATTCGGGGATCCCGTGCTTCAGTACGTAGTGTTCCACGAACGCTCGGGCCACTACGAGGGCTGTCTTATCAGGGATGGCTACCGCTACGGGATAGCGTGTGAAGTATTCCACCGCTACAAGAATATATCGGTTGCCCCGGTGGGATCGCGGGAATGGCCCCTGCAGGTCGATCCCGACCAACTGGTTCGTCCGGCTGACGCGGAACGGCCTCAGGGGTACCTGGTATCGCGCCGGTTTCGGCCCGCATTGCTGACACGCGCGGCAGCCCTGCACCCAGGCGGCCACGTCTTGTGCCAACTTGGGCCAGAGATACTGGCGGCGCAGGGTTTCACGAGTGCGCCGTTCTCCGTCATGGCCCCCGAGCGGGTGGTCGTGCACTAATCTCAGCAGCTGGGGTCGCATCTGGGCGGGGACGCAGATGTACCCCGGCTGGCCGGCTTCGGTTAGCTCCCATACCACCCCGTTCTGCACGCACAATCGGGCATACAAACCACTCCAGGGCCCTGGTAGGGTGTCCTCTTTCTCCCGTAGGGCCGCCTCTACTGCCGCTAGATCTGGATCCCGCAGCTGGATCCGCCTCAGCTGCTCGTCGTCCAGGCTCGGGAAGGCACAGCCGACGTCCTCCTGGATCCGATCGGGTGGGGTTGAGCGACCCGTCGGGCCCCCTGGTGAGGGCTCCGTGTCCGCCGAGTGGTCCTCCGGGCCCCTGGTTCCCCCTACCGGGGTCTCTGTGGCACATGCTGCACTGTCTCTCACCGGGGGAGGGTTAGTCTCGGTGCGCCCCTGGGGGTCCACCACCTGCCGGCAACGGCCCCCCGTGAAGCACGGGCAAGCCTCCTCCGCCCTTCTCTCGGTGCCCACCGCGGGCCGCCTCGACAGGGCGTCCGCGTTTGCGTGCGTGTGCCCAGCTCGGTACTCAATTTGCAGGTTGTACTCCTGCAGCTGCGCCAACCACCGGGCCATCTGCCCCCGCGGTTCCTTGAATGTAAGGAGAAACTGCAGGGCATAATGGTCAGTGCGTACCCGACATTTCCTGCCGTACAAATACGGTCGGAACTGTTTACACGCGAAG